CACCATACTCCCGTCGCGCTGGTCGCTGACGTCGAGCCCCAAGTCGCCGACGTGGGACGGCGACACCACGCCCGCGCCCGCCCCGCCCGCCCCGCACACCGCCTACCCGTGGACCGACGACGGCTCGCTCGTCGCCGCCTTCCGCCAGCTCCTGTCCGACTTCGACACCATCCACACCGTCAACGGCGCACCCCTCACCGACCCGCGCGTCCAGGACATGCGCCGCTGGGTCGACGACGCCATCCCCCGACTCTACTTCCTCGCCGCCGCTAACCTCCGGCACAGCTTCGAGGCCAAGCGCGTCGCCCCGCACGCGGAGAACTTCCTCCGCCGCTTCCCCGGCGTCGACGTCGACCGCCTCCGCGCAAAGCACATCCCGCATCCGCCGTCCCCGCCCGCCGACCCCGCTTCGCCCCGCCGCCCCCGCGACCCCGCCGCACCCTTCGTCCCCGCTACCCAACCCGCCGCTACCAGCCCCGCCGTTTCCCCGCCCCCCCGCGGAGCACACCCCACCGCCGCCGCCGCCGCCGCCACCACCGCCCGCGCCCACGTGTCCCCGGAGACCGTCGCCATGCTCTCCGCCGTCCACGACATGCTCGGCACCTCCCCCGTCTCCGTCTTTGACGCCCCGCCCGCACAGTCCCCGCAGGAGATTCATCAAAGACTTTCCCAAAACCCGCAACTCCAGCTGTATGTCCGGGACGTCCCCCAGAGACTCGCCTTCACGCCCGAGGTACAGCCGTATACATCCCGTACATGACATCCTCGTCATCCCCGCCCCCATCTCGGGGCAGATGATGACACCGCACAACGCACGGTAGCCTCGCCGCTATGCCATGTGGATGAACCCGGTAACTGCGCTTGTGATTCGTCAAATTCCGTCACACTCAGCCATACCGAGAATTGAGAACGCTGTGCATTTTGACTTTCTTGTTTGCACCGAACCCTTATGCTGATTTCTAAACGAAAAGAGACAGACGCTGTGTGGCAGTGCCGGAGCGGCTTTGACGATGATCAGCGTGACGCCTGCGTCAAAGAACCACGGCCGGAATCTGACAACCTCATGCCATTACAGCAAGTGGTACGAGCCTGGAAAACTTTTGTCATTGTATTATACAATATAGTACCTCCTACTTCTTGAAAGAGAGCAGCCCTCACCCCAGGTGGTCTTCCAGTGGTGTCTCTTGAGAAGCAGAAGAGGTTTTTTGTGCCCCCCGAACGGAGGTCCTACTCCATGAACGCTACACCCCACTGCCGTAAAACCGCCTGATGAGCCTTATCCGCTTCTTTTCCAAGCGGACTGCATTCAGGCTATTTGCTACTTTGCCTTCCTTCCCTTACCACTGGAGGGGGTCCCCTGTGTACACACTGTTTGTTGATGTCGCTTAAGGTGGTCCTTTTTCTTGAAACTCATCGAACAATGAGAACACGGAAATGGGCGCAGATCCTTGTGAACGGCGTTGTAATGTCGGCTAAGCCATAGAAACAAAACAATTCATTAACCCAACATAGGAAAACAATGTGCACTTACTTCTTCGCGTCAGTCCCTTTGTTCAATTCAAATCCGTTCGTGGCTTTGGATAGCAAGATCACTAGCTTGAGAGAGTCAAATATTCCTTACTTGAGTGAGTCCTTGAATGAAAATGTGAGACCACAGTGTGGACAAATCCATGGTCTTTCGTTCCTGCTGAAAACATGAACGTGTCGTAGACGCAAAGGGTTTAGACGAACTTCTGCATCAGATTTTTGATTCCTATTGGTATTGTCTTTAGAGAAATACGTGAAGCTTTGTCACGAACTTACTGAACAGATTTGATGTGTCGGCTAAGGCGCACCAGACAAAGTAGAGAAACGAGTCAGTAAATAAACGTGCGGCGGCCCTGACGTATGCGTTCGGAGTATACCGACCCAATGTAAAAACTCACTTCAAATTTCCTTTCTCACAAAATACGGCACAACACTCCTTACAAGGATAGACTTTTGACTTGTGCTGTCGAGAAGCACTGCAGATATGAGTATTTAATGCCAACGCCCAGGTTTCATTGCATGAGAACCGACAAACCGCGAAATTCGCATGCACAAAAGATGCCGAAAATGTCAGATGTGCCTCGACAGTAGACAGACATAATTCAGAGTTTGCCGCTGCAACGTACTGGTCTTGAAGCGAAGCAGCGCTTGAAGTCACATGGAGGCATTCGGGACATCTGTAGTCGTCCGTCTTTGTTCTTCGTTTCGATCCTTGCCCCGTCCTCAATTCTTGCGAATGCTTTGCGCCGGCCGTAGTAGAAGAAGGCGTAGAATTGAGACCTGA